TAAATACTCTCCCACCGCAGTCGAAGAAAAGATACTGCAACCCCCATGATAGTGTGTGACAACGGAACGGGAGTCCAGCACCAGCTGATGACAGACGTGGGCGACACGTCGTGACTTCTCACTCAACCCCCACGCGAGGACACTCGAAACCTACTAGATCTAGTACTACAACGTATGTCAGACCACTAAATTACTAAATGTTGTAATTTTAAACTTGTGTGTGGGGGTAGTTTTTCTTATTCTTTTTTGTGTTTTGTTGGTTGTTGTTTTTTTGTTGTTGGGTTGTTGTTGTTTTTTTTTGGGGGGGAGGACAGTCAATTTATCTCTAGCTTTATCGCGTTTTGATTTTCGCTGTCCACTGCTCACTTTGCTTCATTAAGTGTGTATGTGTGTGTGTGTGTGTGCGTGCGTGGTGGCTGTGTGGAGATCTGTGTGTGTGTGGTGAACTGTGAGAGATGAAGGGGGGTAATCGGTTACTGTCAAGTACATGTAGTTTTGTTTAGGGGGGGGGGTTTAGGGGGCAGAGGATGACAACAGAGGAAACGACAACAGCAACGACAGGCAGCGCCCCCTCGACCGCAGCATCCAGAACAATAATATGGAGGCGACTGATACATGATGTACTGATAACCGATAAGACCACGTGCCACGGAACAAAGGAGAGAGAAGGAAGCAATAATAAGGAAGGCAGGGGAGTCGCTGCTGGAGGTCAGGGTTGGAGGGGGGAGGGTGAGGGATCGGTCAGAGCGACGATACACGACAGGCCGAGGCCTAGCCTACTGCAGACTTTCAACACTATTCAGGAAACTAGTGACGGCTCACACAAACACGCGGCCTCGGAGTTTGTGGCAAAACTAACAGAGTTTTGTTTTTATGGGGGGGGGGGTATTTTTCTTCTTGTTTTTTCTTTTTCTTTGTTGGGGGGGAGGGCTCTGCTTTTCCTTTCTTTTTTCCTAAAGTAATTGATAATCAGCATCATCATTAACTCTAGTTCTAGGCTACTGTCCCTACCACAAAAATCACCTTAACCCGTCAATAATTGCAAGAGAATTTCTGCTTGCGGTAA